GAGCCCTGGCACCTCTGCTCGGCTTCTGGTTTGAGACACAAGGAGGAGATGCAGAGCCCTGTGCCCACTGTGGCTCCGCCCCATGCAGCTCAGTGGCGGAGGGGATGTGGCCATGCTGGAGGTGCAGGGAGAATATTTCCATGCTCACCTCAAGGTCTGGTTCGGGGATGTGGAAGCAGAGACGATGTACAGGTGAGGGGGCAGGGGAGCAGCTCTGGGTTTGGGCAGGGCCTGGGACCTTGGGCTGGTGACAAGTGGGCAGAGAGGAATGGAACGTGAGACGAGAGGGGAGGGTGGTCCTTGGCCCCATCTCCACCACCAAGACCCCTTCAGGTGAACTCTTGTTTTACTGTCCTACTCCCAGGAGCCCCAAATCCCTGATGTGTGTCGTCCCTGACGTCTCTGCCTTCGGCAGTGACTGGAGGTGGCTGCGGTACCCAATCACTGTCCCACTCCTGCTGGTCAGGGATGATGGCCTCATCTACTCCAGCTCCTTCACCTTCACCTACACCCCGGAGCAGAGCTTCCTTCCAGGGCAGCAGCTCCCTGCTGATGTCCCACAGGACTCAGACACACTGCTCAACAGCATCCACCAGGAGTTCACCAGGACCAACTTCCACCTCTTCATGCAGAGCTAGTGAGCTGGGTGGGCAGCGTTCATTGCCAGCAGCCCTGGGGACAGCAGTGTCCCTGTGCCATGCCCAAGAGTCCCCTGTCCACCTGCTGTGTCCTGACCTGTCTCTTATAACAGCAGAAATCTCACGTGTGGGCACAAATAAATCACAGTTCATGGACTCTTTACCAATTCAGTGCTGCTTTACTGGCCCTCAGGTTTTACCTCCTGTGCTGGCACAGAGCATCCCATCTCCCCAGTGTGCCCCTTGTCCATATACCTAAAGGCCAGGGCATGAATGAACAGGACCATGAGTGTTATTAATCTATAGGAGAAATCTCTGCACCACGTTTGTTATTTCCATAGAATAGAATCATCCAGCAGCTAAATGTCAGCATCAGATTATTATTGATTTCTTTTCCCACTTAGAGGCCCAAATGGCATTATTTCAAAAGGGGGGGGTGGGGGAAGAAAGGAAAACTCTTCCCAGCAGTCATGGCTCTGCTGAGACAAAGTGCCCAAACAGAGAATCCCTCCTCACCCCCCGGAGCACCTCCTTCAGTCCCCACCCGCTGTGTAGGAGCTGCAGCCACAGCCCTTCCCCTTCCTGTGCACCACTCCTGTTTGATGAATGGAAAGTGCCCCCTGCTTCGTTCAGCAGCAGCCGGGTCCTGAAGGGCAGGAGGAGCGGTTCTTGTTGATTTGAAGGGCTTCGAACAAGCTCACGTTGTTACGTTTTATGGCACACGCTTTGTTGGAGCGGCTGAGGAAGCACTGAGCATCTCCGGATGATGGCAAAGCCTGAGGGCGTTGGGAAAGCGCAGCACGAGGGAGGCAGAGCTGAGAGCCCCTTCAAAACATCGAGAAGAAAATCTCAGCTTGGCTCTCTCCGCACTCCGGGAGGAGAGCAGCTGCCGCCACCTAGCGAGCCGCAGCCGGGCTGGTGCGCACCGTGCAGACAGCATCCCCCAAGAGCAGCCCTGGCCCCAGAGCTGTGGATGGGGCCGGAGGTCTGCGCAGTGCCCAGAAAACCTCTCTGACTTATCCTTTACTGACAGAGGCACAAATAACCCAGAAGAGTGGCGGGAGCTACACCAAGGCCAAAAGAAGCAGAGCTAAGGGATGCTGAAGCACTGCAAAACATCCAGAGCCCACTGCGCTCCTGTGGCCACAGCTCTGAGCTCTCAGCCCTGCCCGTGCAGACAGAGCGTGTGGAAAGTTGGGATTTGGGTTGTTTCTTTTGCTGTAAACCAGGCAAAGTTTGAAAATACTCCCTCCTAGCACAACCCTGGGCTGCCTGCAGTGCAAGGAAGGACTGGACCCCATGGGTGCCCACCAGCTCTGTGTCAGTGCAGTCCGAGGGCCCAGCCCAGCTGGCCAGGTGGATCCGGGCTCTACTGGTGGTGCTGGAGGAGAAGCAGCAGGGAGAGGACTACAAACCTGCAGGGCTGTCTCCAGCTCCCCCCCCACAGGGAGGTGCTGGCATGGTGAAGATGGCTGGGAGCAGAGATGTCAGCATGGGCTGTGTGTCAAATAATACTAATAATTTTCACTGCTTTGATGTTTGAACACAGTTGAATGCAAATGTGACCCCAGAAAGGTGCCTGGCCCTGGGAGCTGAGCTTGGGTGAGAGGTTTCTGAGCCAGATTCTTACCTGCTCCACCACAGCGTCACTGCCTGTCCCAACACAGCATCTCCAGTGCTGTGAATGGGGCATAAGGAAAGAGGCTTTAATAAACAATCTCCAGCTTAAAGCAATGTCACAACCCCAAAAAAGCAGGCTTGGTATTGGGGCAGGGAGACATTTGCTCTGTGCTTTTTGCAGTGAGGGTGGACAGACCCCAGAAGAGTCAGACAGGGCTTGTCTCACCATTGTCACCATGATCCCCTATCCCCCCACATGTCCCTGAGAGCAGGCACAGAGGTGTGTGTGCAAGGAGCCCCAGGGCTGTACTGGGGGGAGCAGGCAGCTGTGAAGGGCTCTTTGTTCCCCGGTGTAATTATACCTGAGCAGGGAATAGGAACGTGCTGAAAACTCCTTGCTGGGCGTTGCTGCAGAGAGCTGTGGTGCTCAGCCCAACACTGGCCCCATTGTTCACTCCATGTTCTATGGGGCTGCCGGCCCACCTCGGCCCCCCGCTTCCCTGCCTTTCCTCCAAATAATCAGGCAGTGATTAAAAACCAACCCTTTCCCCTCTGCAATGTCAATATTGGGCCTGGGAGGGGGATGGTGCAGAGCAGAGGGCTGCACTGGGGGGTGAGCAGTGCTTCTGCACCAGGAACACTCCATTCCCTGGGGCCAGCAGAAGCCTGTGGGGTATAGAGACCCCAGGCACTCCCAGCCCTCATGCTATCTCTGCTCTGGCTTTGTGCTGAGGCTGCACCTCTGCCCAAAGCTGCTGGATAGAGACCCAGACCTCAGCCCTAGGTGAAAGCTCAAGGGGAAGAGTGGGGCTTTGGTGCACCTCTGAAACAGACGGATTTGGAAGATGAACCAGCAACAATCCTGGCAGCACTGCTGGTCATGGTAGCCCTGGAGACCCAACTGCATAACCTCAGCACAGCAGCACAGCGCTGAACACACAGCGTACACCCAACGCTCCCCAGCAGTATTAACTCCATATTATTAAATTGACTCTGTTCTCAGGATAAATGCATCTTTTCCCACCTCCACGGTTCCCAAGCCAGATATTTTAGCAGAGAAATCCCTACCTGCCCCTTCTGGCTTCTGAGTCCCTGGTCTGACCTCAAAGCTGCACTCAGTGATGCTCAGCACAGCAAGGTCCTGCACCCCACTGCCTTTTTGGTGCCTTCTGCAGAGGAACAATGCTTCTTGGCAGGGCCTGGGCATCCTTCAGAGCATGCCTATAGCCCTGCTACAAGCTTCAGCATATCATAGCTGACACTTTGTTAAGGTTTATCCCTCTTCTGAGCCCTCCCCACCATGCACTCTGGGTGAACTGGTTGATAAGTACTCAGCCATAATGACGATATGAGAGTTCTCTGCATCTCCAGGCCTGCAGCTGTTACCTGCTGGGGGCTCAAAGCTTTAATTAGATTGATTTTCTTGCAATGCAATGGCAAAAAAAGAAAAAAGAAAAGAAAAGGGAAAAGGAGGATGATGATGGGAGGGAAGGGTGAATAAGTAAAAAAAAAAAAAAAAAAAAAAAAAATTGTGAAAAAATAGAAAACGAAAAAAGAAGGGTAAAGAGAAAAAAAAAGGGAGGAAAAAGAAAAAAGGAGGAAAAATAATTGGAAAAAAAAAAAAAAGAAGAAAACCCTGCGGGGTGCGCGCGGTGCCAGGAGGGGGCAGCAGCCACAAAGCGGAGCGGGGCCTGGGTGAGCCCCGGGGAGGGGTAACGGGGAACACCCGGCTAAGAGCATCCCGGAGGAGCCCACCCCAAGGTGCCCCATCCCGCAGCAGAGGGCGGCAGTGCTCAGCTCTAACTTCAACGGGGGTTCTGGCGTAAGAGCAGAGCTGCACCAGGAGGAAATGCGACCGAATGACAGCCGGGGTCGGAGCTGGGGGGCGGGTTCTGCAAAGCATCACTAAAGGGCAGTAGGCAGCAAGGAGCAGAGTCTGTGGGTGCTGCACCCTGTGACCTGCAGAGCCCACCCAGAGCACTGCACAAGTACAGCACAAGGGATTCCTGCAACTGAAATGAAGCCCTAGGGAAAGGAAGAGACAAACAAATGCTGTCCTATGGAGCAAGGCCAAGACCCCACGCCAGCTGTTGGAGGCACAAGAACACAGAGGATGCATCATACATCACCAGGTCTGGACAAACAGCAGCTCCCAGGAGCAGAGGTCAGCCCAGCAACACCTGAAGTCCTGGACACAGAGCAGGCAGCAGCACAGAGCCAAAGTGTATCTGCAGCCCTAAAGGAGCACACACTGCTCCCAGCCACCCAGAGCAGGAGTTCCTAGCAGGGAGGAGCAATTAGATTTTCTCAAGGACAATAATCCATTTAAACACAGCACTTCTTTGGAGACTCAACACTCATCCCAGCAAGCAGAGCCAACCCCATCCCTCAGGAGCACCAAAGTGCCAGGGCAGAGGGGCTGGAGAAGCCACAGCCTCCCCCAGAGCTTACCAAAGAGCTGCTCTGGGTTGAGGTGGCACAGAGGACACATCTCCCAGCTGGAGGCCATGCTGGATCCACACTGTTTGACTGAAGAACTCAGCACCAGGTTGCTCCAGAAGCCCAGCCTTGCTATTCCCACAGGGGCAGCTTACAGGGCAGCAGGAATGGGGACAGTGACAAAGCCCCTCTGAGCTGCAGGGCACTGCCACACCACTCCCAGCACGCCTCTCCCTTTGGTAAACCAGGGAGTCACACACACACAGACTCTGTTATCCAGTTCCCAAAAGTAATCCCAGATCAGAAACAGTCCAAGAAGCCAATTTTAGAAAGTACCAGTTTATTTGTGGAAAAAAAAAAAAAAAAATAGTCAGTAACAGTGGAAAATCCCCAAGAGCAGTTACATGAGAGAATCGAAATATCCAGAGAAGCAGACACTGTTTCTGCCTTCCCGGCAGTGCTGTCCATAGGCAGTGAGTCCTCCCTCTCCTTCCTACCCTACATCCAACTCTGCATAGTTTTTAGAGCACCCCAGAGCCTGCAGCTTCCAAAAACACATGTGCTGGAGGACCACCCTTGGGAAAGTCCTCCCAAACTCACATCAACACATCCCTGCCTGCTGCCCCAATGCAGCACCAAGGAGCAGCCACCACCAGCTAAAACCCCATTTCTTTATGCTGTTGCCTCTAAGCATCCAGCCAAAAGCCTCAAAGTCCTGCTCAGGAGGCTTGAGGAGCTGTTTAGATTACATCAGCTTCATGCTGCCTACCCAGGTCAGGCTTCAAACCACACCAAACAGCTACACACCAAAGCACTGACACAGGACATGCACTGCAGCCTCTGCTCTTGGAGCACTGGGAAAGGGTCTGAGAGGTAGGAGCTACATACAGGGTATGCAGTGCAAGAGCCACAACTGGGAGCTGCCACCCAGGCAGACCCGATGCCCACCTGCACTCCAGGCAAGATGCTGGCCAAACAGCAGTACAAAACAGACCAAGCCTCACAGACAGTGAGGCTGCTGAAGGGTTACCTCCAGCCTTTACACTTAGCTGTATATTTCTCTGTAAAAATATAATATAGAGCTCTATAGGACTGATTATAATATATTACAGGCTAGAAATACTAATATTTCCCCTACTTCAATCATATAATGAATCCAATTTTGCATACAGATTAATTCTAGAAGTTATTGCCTTGAATTTATAATTAAAATTCACAGAATAAAGCTTAAATAGTTTCCACAGAGACTCATTATATTAGCGTTTTACGTAAGGAGGATAAAAGTCACCAGATGCAAAGAGCAGCCATTCCAGAAACTATAAATAATTCTATTTTAAAAAAATAATAAAAAAAATCAAAACCTACATTACAGGAAAACCATAAATATCTTTACCCTCTACAGTAGCTGCTATAGAAGCAGAAGAAACCTGCGACCACACTGAAGCTAACTGCTGCAGTTCTGAATATGAATCATAAACATCTCCAGAGATATGCCAGAAGGAAACAAGGGGATTGAAAAAAATAAATCTGAGGAAATTAAAAAAGTAGATTTTTTTTTTTATTTCAAAACAATTTCTACAAAACTTTATATAAACATTAGGCTATCCTCTTTAAAGTTTCGTTATAAAAATCCTACAGGCAATCCTAAAAAAAAAAAAGAGCAAAGGCAAGGAAAGGGTGTCACATAGCCAAGAGAAAGGGGCTGTCCTGATTGCACAGAGTAATGACCCCTGCCTGGGGCAGACAGGAAGAGACAGAAGTCTCTTGGGGAAGACATTCCCATCAGCCCTTTATGGCATTGGGGGATTTGGAGCTGTTGGCTCTCTACTCCCCCAGTAAGGCAACGTGATTGGTAGTGTAAGAGATTCATAAATAGTTCTTCACAAAAACGCTTCACATCAACAGCCTGCTGCAAGATGTCTATTAGCAAGGTTTATAAAAAAAAAAAGCCATCTTCTATAGAAGCAGCCAATCTGAGCACAGCGCTCTGGCTGCAAACACATGGTGTTTGCTTCCATACAGTCTGTTTGGTGTTTATATACCCTCTATAAAAACAAGCAGAAAGTTTGGCATCTTTATTGTTTTTACACTAGCTTTAGGAAGAAAAAAAAAACACACACTGAGCCTTTTCCCAACCCCCAAGACTCTGTATTTCATTGGGCCCTTGTTAGCTGAGCAGGATGGGTCGCATAGAAAGTTTGGTCCCCCCCCCCTTCAAAGTCACTTTGAAATTCAATCCAAAAAGAGCGTTTGTTCAGCGCGTCTCATTGGAGGGCACAGTGTTTCCATACAGTCCATTTGTCCCTCGAGGGGCACAGAGCACCGCTGAGCTTTAAGCGTAGAACTCATTTGTAGGGGCTTTCTTGTAGATCGGTTTCTTCCCAAGGTCGTAGCTGCCTTCATCCTTTTTCTTCATGCGATAGACTAAGAGGAGGATCAGGAAGACAGCAAACAGGAGGCCAACTGCTCCTCCTGCAATGAGAGCTGCAGGGGGAAAGGAAACATGGAATTCAGTCTGAACTCCGAGGCAACTCCAAGTTCCTAGATCATTCCTAGATCAGGATCTGTCAACAGCACCAGTCCCCAGACCTGCCTCGAGTCAGCTTTGCCCATATGCCTATCACCACAGGTACTGACACTTTCTGCAACAGAAGATGTTCTTGGAAAAAAAGCCAGAAACTGATTTTCACCCAACCATAAACCTATCACATTCCATACTGATCTTCCAGTTAAGGGCTAAAAAGGACTACTGATAAGACAACCTCCATGCTTGGAGACAAGAAGAGCCACACCCCAACTCACTGAGCATCAATTCCAGGAAGGTGGCACAGCTTTCATTTGAATGAGCTGTCAATTGGTTGTGTGAGCACACACTGGAGATTCCATACATCAAATATACTGCAACAGCTCCCCACCATCACCCTGTAAGATTCTCCCTTCTCCTCCAATCAAGTTTCTTTTGCTGTGACACCTCCCCACTGCACTAAGCCAGCTCTGATGTTGGGTGGCCTGGCAATCCAGTCTTCCAGGCAGAAGGATGGCTGCATATCAACATGACCTGCCAAGACCAGAGCTCAGACCATCATGCTAAGCGCAGGATCTGTCCCACATGCTGCTTGGCTTTGCTCCAGACAGAGCAAGTTGGATTTTAACAGCTGATGAGGTGCTCAGACACCTTACAGGAGCTGTTACATCCCTGGCAGGGCTCAGAAAAGTCAAGCCTTGGGCAGAGGTTAGAAGGACAACGCCAGTGTTTGCTTTAGAAGTTTATGACATTGTTGATTCATGGCTAGATATGCCTCTGGCTGAGGCTGGCAGGTGCACAGCAGCTGTCAGATGACTTGTGACTCTTGTTTAAGCCAACAGTCAGGTGACGAGCTCAAAAACAAGCTGTTTACCCAGCAAGGCAAGCAATAGGCTCTTCTGCCATTCAAGGACTAGAAGGCAGAAGTTGCTGGTTACAGGTAGTCACAGTGGTAATGCAACTCACTTGCCTTGTCAGAAGGGAACTGCTCCCCAGAGAACAATGCAAGCCATTTTGATTTACAATACGAATAATTTATCGCTAGAGTTTAAGAACAGTGTGAATTATTACCTGTAAGAACTTCTGTTCTTTCAAAGATGCTGCTGTTGGCTGTGCTTGCCATGGAGATCTTGTTGGACAGGTTCTCTTCAACAGGTGAAGCTTTGTCTGGAATGATTTCATTGTCCAGCATCGTGTTTTTCTTCTCGCCTTCTATCTTCCTCTCTATATCTCCAGGGATATAGTTGTCAGATATCTGCAGAGAACAGACACCACACCCATCAGTAAGCAGCACCCAGCCTACCTGCAGCTGGAAGTGGGAGGGCGTGCAAGGAAAGGAAAGTTTGCTCAGTGCTTTATAAGTGTGCTGTTCTGGCTCATGCAGGTAGATTTGTCTCGATGCCTCATCTTGCAGGGGGAAGGGTATTCAGAAAGCTTCCAAGACAAACCAGAGTGGCTTAAAAGAAAATGTAAAGGTAGCACCTACCGCAGGAGTATCCACAGTGGTCAGGTACATGGCATCATCGGAATCCGAGTAGTCTGCAGGAAGGGAACAAGAGCACACTAAGTTTTCCTCATATTACAACCTGTTTCTCCATAATTCCAACACTTCCAGCAACCGCAGTCTAACTAGGACTCTAGTTCTCTCCTGAATACAGTTCCCTCTTATCTGCTGGAGCATCCATCACTTGATAGTTTTGATTGCACAAGATCAAGAGATGCAATCCCAAGAGCAACACCTCGTGCACACCAGGGATCTTCAGCTGTATCCATGGGACCCTGCTGCAGATTATCTGGAGTTGCTCTGCAAAGCAGGTCTGCCACAGCTTGCTAAGCTAGTGCCAAGGGAGGGCAAAGCTCTCACCACCCACCCCTAGAGGATAGCTTGCTAAACCTCTAGTCACCAGATCTGCCCAAACATGTCAGGTACCGATTTCAGGACTTGTTCTTTTCCATTCAGAGAACAAATGCTCACATAAAGGGGACAAGGAGCTGCTGAAACTGGTTTGGGCAGGGAGCTTTGCATGTCACAGAGTTCACTTGCACACCAGTTAGCCCTTTACTGTCTCAGCTGAGGCTAAACAAGGTAAGCTTTAAGCCTTTTAACACTGCCTCAAGATTAGAATTCTATTTATTTGTTAAGACTCTCACAAGTTCTTCACAGTTCTAAGGAAAGAGTCCCAGCCTCCAACATTTGGTTGGACTCCATGTCCTCCCCAGGTGATTCAACCACTTTCACTGCTTTCCTCCAACCCACAGGGCTCTCTCATCTTCACCTGGCACACTGCAGCTCCTTCTGGAGCTCTGGTTATACCCTCACTTGCTCATTCTGCAGTTGCTGGCACAGGGTTACATACTTCCCCACTCACCTCCAGAGCCAGACACGTCATCTATATCAAAGTCATCAGAAGTTAAGTGAGGTGTGAATTCACCAATGTCTTCATCATCTGGCAGGTCTCCAGAGCCAGGGTAGTTAAACCATTGGGCATCCATGGTCTCTGTTTCTCTCACCTGGGGAGAGGAGGGGATAAGAGTTAAGTTTCAGACAACTGCTGGGAAGGGTTTCACAAAAGATCAGCAGTTCAGGACCTGTTCTGAGCACATTGCTTCCATCACAAGAACATTAAATGCTGAACTTCCTCTCCAACAAGACATTATCTTCACTGGAAGCAGCTGAATTCCCCTAGAATTTCTCAGAACAGAAATGAGAAGTCATAGAGGGGAATTTCCTGAGAGCTGCAGATTCAGGAGGTTCACTGAACAACCACGGGATGGAAACAACACAACAGGATCTTGGTCAGGAGTTCATAGCAGAAAACAATGCCTTCAGTTTGTCGTAAAGGGGGATTTGGAAGAACTTCCTGTTCCCAGAGAAAAAGCCTGGCACCTATAAGTCAGGGTGTTTTGTTTTGTTTTTTTTTGCACAGCACTGAAGCTTCACATCAAGGCAATTCATTGCCTCCTGCACTGAGAACAAACCTACTTTATTACCCAAGGGTTAAAACTGGTCTGCCAGTTCCGCTGAATTGCACTGCAATTCAGTGTGATGTTCAAGAGCATTCGCTATCAATAATGACCCGCCCAAAGGAAGAGCTTCCCCTGCCTCACCTATTGAAATCTGTGTAAACAAGTCTATGAAATGAAGCTCAGGATCCAAGAGTCTAACGGCTGTAGCTGCAGACACACATTAGCAAAACAGCAGTGTAGAAGGGCAGCCTGCCCAGCTTGCAGAGCAGCCTGGCCAGAAGAGCCGCTCAGACAATCAGCTGTTTGGCCACAGCAGCAATTTAGACACTAGAACTGATTTGCACTTGGGTCTTGAAGGAGCCACAAGCCCAAACCTCCCACCCTTGCCAGGGTTATGCAATTTCCCCAAAGCATCGCTCTTCTCCCAGGAGCCTGGGGCCAGGTGAGGGTCCTGCAGATGCAGTTTCATTGCCCAATACCAGCCCACAGATTCCAGCTCAGCTGCCTCCAATTCCACAGCCATGAAGTCATTGGCATAGTGGGAACTTAACCCCTTCCCCGAAGGCAAGGAGCACGATGCAGGCAGACAGGTCCTATAGCTAAGGGCTAGGCTGTCACATTGTTTTTTTCTGCTGTCCCCACAGAAATGCTGGGCATGCACTTCTTCAGCATCTTTGTGGTTTAAGTCCTGGGGGTTTAATCCCAGGAGAACATTTTTGAACAGCCACAACTATGCCTTCATCCCACAGCTCTTCACACTTCAGGGCTTTGGGAAAGTACAGTTCATGAGCTTAAGTGGGAGAACAGAGACCGTGGTCAGTTGGATCCTGGTCTCACCCCCCAAGCTCTGCTGCTCACTGCTTTGCTAGGACAGGCTGTGCAGCTCCAAGACTTGGAGCAGCCCCCTGCCAGCCCAGCCAGGTGTGAAATATCCTCCAGCCCAGCAGTGACACCAAATGACAAACCAACTGACAAACTGTGCCCACTATTGATTTTAGAGGTGAATGCTAACAATCCATCACAAGCTATGTGTCAGCTTCCTCTACCCACAGCCCCAGCCCAGATTTCCCTGCCATTAGCATATTTGTTTTGCCACAAACAAGGCCCTGTGGTGAGAGCAGGATGCTTCTCATTCTGCATGAAGAGCAGTGGCTACTAGACGTGCTTTTCATTAGCTTATTGTGGTATCTTTGGTTTCCCCTGCAACACTGCTGGAGGACAACCAACTGAACTGCCTCAGGGCAGGAAGCACTGAGCCCAGCTCTCCCAGAGCCCTGCTCCTCTCTGCCTCAGCTGGCACAGGGCAATGGGAAGGGGCCTGGGGAGGAAGGACTGCTGGGAAGAAATCCTCCTGCCTCCTGGAACCAGGTGTTCCTAACATTGTTGATCACTTGCTCCAAGGCAAATTCATCTCAAGATACATGAAACCCAGCCAAAACCCGACCTGCCATGGGAACTGCTGCCAGCACGCAGCCACACTCCCATTACAGCTCACAGCCATCCCATTGAGGTGCAGGGAGGATGAACTCCAGTCCACCTGAGCTAGGACAGTAGAGCCATGTTTGTGTGTGCTCAAGCAGGCTGCCAGGTCACATAGCCAGGCTGTACTGCACCCCATGCCAGCTCACACCACTGTGAATCACAACGGTCAACAGCCTCTCCTGGCCAGGGTGGCTCAAGGAAAGCCACATTCAGGCCACTGAGTGGCTGGACAGCAGGCCAGCCTTATCAGATCAGTCCAGACATAGGCAAAGCCATGGCAGTCAGCCATGGTGATTAGTACACACCGTGGAATGCACCACGTTCGTCTATCAGAAAGCCCTATTTAAATCAGGAGAGACAGTGTTTACAAGCCAGAGGACATAGCAAGGAAATTACTGACTCAGAAACATAAATAAGATTACAGGGGAGCGTTCCCTAAACTCACTCTTCATCATCCTCTTGAGTAAGGGCAAGGAAATTCCTGGAAGCCAGGAGAGCTCTTCAAAGCCCACAGAAAGCTTTTCTTGCGGGCAGCAAGCCTCATTCGTACAGCTTCACCCCAAAGCACAGGAAGCTGGAGGGCTGCCGGGCACCTCCGTGTGTGCCCTGCTGTGTGTGTGCCCTCCAGGCCCTGGGACATGCTCTCCCAAGGAGCAAGCTCCTGAGACGGGTCCTGGCAGCCCAAGAAGAGTTACAGTGGGTACAGCATGTGCAGCAGGCACATTCCTTGCATACACACCTGTGAGAGGACACACAGTGCTTTCACAGACTCAAAAGCAAAGGCTCACGGCTTCTCAAGCACCACAAGGTTTCCCTGTAGAGCTGCTCAGAAAGTATCGTTCCTTTCTAAGAGGGAAGACTCAGCCTCCCTACGACCACAGAATCCCCTCAGCTGCCAGGCCACAAAACACAGGGCAGCAGCAGGCAGTCCGTGCCAATGCATCTCAGGCCACATTCAGCTGAACACCCTCTGCATCTGCCAGCTGGAGAAGGGCACAAGCCATTCAGAGTCCTCCTGCTGTCTCAGGATGGAGACCCGCTGGGAGCAGCACACTGGTTGCTGGGCCAGCCCACATTGCTCCAGCAGCCAAAGCCAAGCCCTGCTATTGACACGCTTCTTTCCAGGAGAGGTCTGAGCAGAAAACTGCTGCTACTGCAGGAGGCTGCTTCCAGGATTTCTTCCTCACACTAAGCAGCTCTGATCCCCAGTAAGCACTGAGGGGATTAGCCAATGTGCTAGGGATGGAGCAGCTTTTCCTGCCTGCCAGTGGCAAAAATAAAAGTTTATGCCCTGCTAGACATCAGGCACTTGAACTGTGGACACCATTCGCAGCACAGAGGACTCACAAGCCCAGGTCAGGCTGCACAGCCAGACAGGGATGGGCACTGTGTGCCCTGCTCCAGTAGGGGCACAGCTGGCATGCAGGCAAGGCTGAAGCACTGATGGACCTCTGCTCACAGTCCCAACATACCACCAACCCCCAAAGCAGCAGCATCCCTCTGCTGAGGCAGCAAGCAGATCTCTGCCCCATGGGCAGGTCCCCCAGCTGCTGGCTAGTTGTGGGAAATACCAAACCCAGGCAGTTGCCTACCCCAACCCACATATCCTCACCACAACTTTTACAAAATCAAGCATTCTGGAACTGGAACAAGGCTTTCAGACACTAAACAGCTTTTATGCTGCTCATTGGCTCTGATCAAACATACCAAGGGTTCAACTAAAGGCTTCTTGGAAGAGCCATCACCAGCAAGCTGCACAGGGAGCAGATCTGCAGAGACTCGGGCACCTGGAGCACAGGGAGCTCCTTATCTCCTTTACAACTCCACAACGACGGCCTGGAGGTCTGTGCGTCTCCCTTCCCAGCACTGTGTACACACATCCAGGAGTAAACAGGAGCAAGGTGAAAGTCAGCTTTCCTAGACAAAAGCATGTGGAGCCGTGCCAGCCTGAGAGGTTGCAAATGGAGTGAGTGCTGAGGTGCAGGCCTGTTAACTCTTTACAACCTGCAGGGACAAATAAACCTAAGGTTCTCCTGTGGCTTTTTCTGGGCACAAGAGGATGGCAATCACTTTGTTTCACTTCAATGGCCAGAGATGACAAAGAGCAACACAGACCACCTCAAACCCATGATGTGAGCCCCAGGTGCACGTAGGTATGTGCTGGAGCCAGGACTGGATCTCCAGTAAAGCAGATCTATTGAAAATTCCTGTGTTGAGGGGAGACAGCCACAGAAAAGAAACATCATGATATAGGTACACTCTACCAGCAGTCTCTAGGCAGAGCTTTTCCCCATCTCTTTTCCATAAGGCATTTAATAGTCACAGAGCACGACATGCTGATGTTGGCAGAGCTCTCCTGAGTACCTTTTTGCGCATTTTTCAGAGTCAGGCAGGGGAAAGCTGGAACTGTGTGACAAAACATCTTTCTCAGACCCATGCTACCATGAGCAAATGCCACCTGACAACCCCACAGCACACCCAGCTCACTTGAACATAGCAGGGCTACTGGACAAGGCAGGCAACTGCCCAGAGGCAGCATAGAAGCAAGCCCAGAAAGGTTTGGAAGTTTGCAGAAGAGCTGAGGGACCCCACGGCACTGGGAAGGGATGAGCACACCCAGAGCTGTCCTCCTCAGCACATGGGAAACAGGCAAGGACAGCTATCTTCCCGTTTTAACTTGAAATGGAAGTTAGAGGGAGCTCTTGCCAGATGGGTAAGGCAAGAGCATATAGAACTGTGCAATTTTGCTTAGAAGTATAGGCAAGGAGCAGCACCTTGCTCAGTAAGGCAGAGCAAGAGGAACATATAGGCTGACAAAGCATCACTCGTTTCATGTCATTAGGAGGAGCACCCCCAGCCTCAGTCCAAGCAAGTAAGTAACCGGCTAGCCAAGCCCAGCAGACCTCATGCTACACATGGCCAGAAGAGCAGCACGTGCCCAGCACTCACACACAGCCTAGCCCACATCCCCCTGCCCGCACATCCCCTATAATTCTTTAAGCCATGTTGCAGCAAGCAGCTCTCCCAAGGCTCACGCAGCAGCCAAGCCGTAATCCCTGTGCCAATGACTCCATAATCCTGGTTCTGCAGCGTGACCTGCTCTATAAAGTGATCCTTTCCCTGTCATGGGGTTGAGCCCTCCTGGTCTCTGCAGGATGGGGAGCTTGCTAAGTAGGCTTTCCTGCACATACCAAGTCAAATGTCGGCTGCCTTGGTCTGCTCACACACAGCTACTCTCTCCTCAGACCATAATGCAGCACCAAATAGAAGGACAGAGATTACAAAGGAATGAATTCCTGTTTAACTGCTCTTGCCTGATTATCAGCCAAGAGCAAAGCCATAAAGATGGTGCCCTTCACCAGCCAGGCACATGCTGGGAACTGTTTAGTGGCAAAATAATTGCAGGAAAGACTCGGTGCCCAGCTCCAGGGCCCACAGAGCCAGGACAGCAGACAGCAGGGTGGGCAGGAGGCAGCTGCTGCTCCCCTCCAGCCAGGGGCTACAGAGCTCAGCAGGGCTGCAGATGGCTGTGTGTCAATCACTTGCCCTGAAGCAAATAAAGATAAGGTTCAGAGGAAAACTGCAACAGGGGAAAGTGGGAGCTCATGTGACTTGGGGAGGAAAACAACTGCAATGGGGCCGTGCTGAGCCTGAGCGGTTCTCCAGGTCAGAGACAGGAATTCAAATCCAGTTCAATAGGGTTTCTGTGCTGTCGCAAATCTAATTGTAAGTAGTTCATATACTTCAGTACTGAGGTCTCAGTCCAGGAGAAGTCTATCCAAGGCTAAAAAGGGGGTTCAGTTTTAGGACTCTCAACACACTGAGTTACCTATTCTAACGCATGAAGCTCCTCTGGGATCCCCGCCCAGGGGGTAGAGGAATCAAAAGGATGTAAAGGCTCCAGCACACCACCTTCTCCATCCAGGACTGCTTCCCAAGCTTGGGATACTTTGTATATCACGTTTCCCCCTCTCCCAGGGCGAGGCCTGCCCTCGCTGCCCTTCCCTAGAATACAACACCCAGTATTTCCCAACACACGTGCAAGCAGAATTTCCACTCAGCAAGAATCGTGTGACGTGCATTTTCAGGCTCTCTGCACTCCCTCATGCCAGCACGTTAGCAGACTAAGCTGGGCAGACACAGACTTCAAAGGCTCAGGAGCACAGAGCCTTTCCCAGGCAGCTATCAGCTTGTTTGTGCAGCCAAGATTCCCAGCGCTGTGCCCTACAAATTCCTCCCCCCTACCACCTACTTTAATCTAATCAGAAGTAGGAGCCCAAAGATTTCGGCTGAGCCCAGGTTGGGCTATTTTTGGTTGTGCTGTTGGTAAAGCTGCCAGCCAAACAGCATGCAGCAGAGGAAGTTATCAGTCTGAAAGCACTCAGGATGAAAGAGTGGGACCACTCTGCTATCAGGCTATGCCTGTGTAAGCATTTGTATGAACACAAAACGTCAACAGCACAACAGCAGGGATTTTCTCTTCTTAGCTACTACGGTAAGGATTGGAGTTTTGGTGCATGGAGATTTTTTGTTGTGTTGTTTTGTTTCTTTAACTACAGCCATCACTGGCTGCACAGAGGTGGCCCTGGCTTGGGGCCAGCACACAGCCAGCAGTGCTGCTGTAGACCATGCAGCCCATCCTACAGCACTACACACCTGCTCCCAGCAGCACTCCCTTCTCTGGGCCCTGTTTCCTACCCTCTGCAAGCAGAGGTGGGCTGCCAGCAGCTTCCCAGCTCCCTCACCACTTCTCTGCACACTCGCAGTCCCTCTGTTCCTGACTGTGACAAAGTTATTGCTTTGCTCCCTCCTTCCTCAGCTCTGTGAAGCCTGCACCCAACCAGATTAACAAGTCATTTAGTAACCAACGCACGGTACCAGCTCCTCATACTCAGCCTCAGGAAATTTGGAGTAAGCGCCAAGAACAGCCCGCACATAAACAGTCTCCTGCAAGAGCCTGGCTCCACAGTCTGCTCTGCACTGTGGACTCGTAATAAATATTTATCTCACTGGGAACAGAGTCTTTGGAGCCCAAGCTCCTGACATCAGTACTAACTCCATGTATTTCCATTTGAGGAAGGAGGTCAGTAGAAAGTTCTCAGCTGTTGAGGGAGGAATACAGCCCCCAGCAGCAGTTCTGCAACCCTCCTTGCACCACACTGGCCAGGATCCGTCCCCCCACCCACAGGAGCCCTGCTGCTCCCAGCTCAGCATCCCACCTCCCATTGCTCTCAAGTGCAAAACCAGACCCGACACACATCAAGATCCACAACCACTGTGCAATTCAGCTTGTTTTGCTGCAAGTCCAAGGCAGGCACTTTCCCAGTGCGGTCATTAATGCACACCAACAGCTCTTTTTATTACTACAGTTTGACTGTAACTGCAGCCAAAGGGCAGGAGGTAGGGTCAGCCTCCCAGCAAGGTAAACAGGGCAGGGCCACAGCAGTTTGTCTTCGGGATTTTACAGCAGACAGGCAGCACAGATCTGCTTACACTGCGATGGAAACACCTTCCTCTCAGCAGCCAAAGCTGGGCAACATCAGAAGGCAGAAATCCTTCCCAAGACTGAATTTGTTTGACCAACAGAATACAATTTGTTTAAGCAAGAAGAAACTTGGGTTTTGCTGCATGACACAGGCTGCTTGGGTAACGCACTACGTGCCTAGCAGTCTCCTTCCCACCCCAAGGAGTGTCTCGCTGACATTTTAATTAACAGCTTTGATTTTTCAGTTATCCCAATGATTTGTCTAACAAGAACCATTCGGTGTTTTGTAAGCAGTCTCAGCCTCAAAGGACTCATGGATACAACCGACACGAGCACATATTTCTAGCAGAAACAAGGCTTTTACAATGAGGGTATTTTTGAAGGCAGACAGCCTTCGGAAATCGAGAGTAACGTAGCTGTGTCTTACGTGCCTCCCCCTCCCACGCTGACATTTTCTCTAGATTCGGAATTCATACTCAGCCTCCTCTTTATGACTTCTCACTCCTCTGCCTTGCTCTGAACACTTTCGGTCACTTCAGATATCACCACCCTCCTCTCCCCATCCAGCTGTATCTGTCTGAAAAGGCAGCACCCATGGAGCTGCCAGAGCAAGTTAGAGGCTGCTTGAGACAACACTGATTTCTCAGAAGCCTTCGCCAATACTAATTCAGCTAGTAACATGGCAGAGAGCAACAAACTGAGACAGATGAGATGGGAGGCAGCAGTCAGACAGCACAGCCTGGCTGCTCAGCAGCACCAGCTCTGCATTTACCCCTCTCCTTCCCCCATAAGGGAACCAGCACTGTGCCCCAGTGCCAAGCAAGTCTGAGTCACTGCATTGGGGCCAGGGCAGAGCCGTTACTCACACAGTGACAGCAGTCTCAGGGAGCTGAGTGCCAGAAACCCTGAGTCACACGCTGCTGCTGCAGGGCTGGCAGCACACAGCAGAGCTGGACTGAGGTACCAGCACTTACCGGACATCTGAGTACATGATTAGAGAAAAACACAAAAATAGAAATCTGAACTAATCCCAAAAATGCAGCCCTAACAGATCATCACCATGGGATCCTTCACAGCCCCTCAGTGCAGTAGTTCATTACACACCAACTCCAACCAGGCTGCTGTGTCTATTCAGAGCCACCAAGCCCAGTTTCATCACAACAGCCTCATTCTAGAGCGCAGATCATTTGAATCCTTAATCTGAAGTGTTTGCATTCCACACCGTCTCAACAAACAGCCACACACTCTCCACAACAGCAGCCCAGAAGTCAGATGTGCTGGATCTGTCCAGTTTTAGTGCTTCAGCTGCATTAGCTTCACATCTGAGGCTACAAAAGCAGCAGGACCCCTCTGTTGTCATAGGGCATCGAGGAACAAGCTGTACTGAGCTGAGAGGGGAGAATCCAGCTGCAAGGATTTAAAAGCAATCTGGAGAGGATAAACCTTAACTTGAGAGCAAAGAAGTGCTTCAAAGGACGGATGTTCCATTTTTATCTAGCCAAAGTATTAGCTGGGGAGTCCTGAGCCATCAGCACTTCCAGAGCATTTCCCAGCAGTGGGAGTCAGAAGGGAAGAACTCTGCTGAAGTCTGCACTCTGAGCAGCCTCCAGCCTCGTGGTGGAAGTAGGACAAGTGCATCAGGAAAGTGATGGGTCACTCCAAGAACACCAGGGCAGGGTGAGAACAGGGAATAGTCTCCTGACCCCAAACATTCAGGCACACAAGGCAACAGCAAAGGCTCAGAGAGGAGGGAAGAGGTGAAAACGCATAGGAAAAAACATTTCCACAACTGTTGGACTGGATACAGACCTCAGCAGGACCTTGAAATGCCAAGGTCTTGGGAGACAGCAGCAGGAGGGGCAGGAAAACAAGCAGTCACATTGTCCAGCTGCCTTAACTTCTGCGAGCCAACAAACCTCAAAGTTCAGCCCCCAGTCTCCTTCCCACCGGCCATTCCCAACAAGGTACAAGGCACTGGAGAGCATACTGTCTTCCACACCTTCCCAGCATTCATCATGACAATCAGCTCCAGGCTTGGCCACCAAAAGCAACAGGCTCCTTCCCTTCAGGAGCAAAGGGCATCACCTCCCACTTCCAATCCTACCACTCTGCATTTTAGGTAGGCCAAGGCAAAAGCCAGGATTTGTTGCAGATGTTCAGCTGCCCCACAGGCTTGCCAAGTCATTAAGTAAAATAAAGTAAAACACACAGATAGCTGTGTCTTGATTTGATTGGGAGGGACAGATGAGAAACTGGGCAAAGAGCAGAAAGAACAGGCCTGGGGGATCAATGGCAGCAGGACAAGCCAAACCGGTTTTAACATTAATAATGCTGTACTACTTTCCAAACATGGCTATCATCAACAAGACACCAGCTTTGCCAATCAGAAGTCCTCCAAGCATGATTGCCTTAAACCAGAAATGGAGCCCACAGCCAGCACGAGGCCTCCCCCTTTCCTTCCTCAGCCAGCAGCTTTCAGGATGGATTTCTGCTCGGCTGCGCTGCTGGGGATGCACGAACACAAAGCAGCACTGCGTGGAAACTTTCTGCTTTCTTTGAGGCAGCAAAGCAGGATGGCTGCAGCTTGCAGACCATTTGTGCTGCTGAGCTCACAGCAGAAGCAGTCTTCTTCAATAGCATTAACAACAGGAGCAGCTCAAGCCTGCAGCAAAGACAAAACTGCTGGAAATACTCGTCTCCCCCCATACTTCCAGGGGCCAGCTAGATTCCAGAAGTTCAGGCAGAGCTCTGCAATGGTGCCCTGCTCCTCCTTAGCTCCACTCATCCTATACATTAGCTGCACTGCTGGCTTCCCATCCATCTCCCCAGAGCCCCTTGGATGCCCAGCACAGCCCTCCCTATAGCCTTTATTCCCTGGAGCACTTGCTCAAGGAGGGCTGAGGAGCACAGATCCAACTGGAAAGCCCCCACCCCCATGAGGGAACAAGGTGATGTCCTCACACCAAGCTGCAGTACAGCAGCCACCCACCACCCCGGCACCAACGTCACACTCAGGCACTTTGCTCACAGTCCCCACCCTTTTACACATCCAGGATTGCTTCACACCGACAAATCCCATCCATGCCAACAAGCTGTGTGAGGGGAAAGGAGCCAAAGCATTTCTGTTTGCACAGGCTCGGGGAAACGTTCAGGCACCAAATCACTCTCAGAAGCCATATCCTTACGTAAGCACAAGAAATACAATCCCCGTCTTGTGAAGAAACAGGTACCTGCCTTCACCCTGCCGCACGCTGTGCAGCTCTGCACGTTTTGGCAAGGCTATAAAAACGAAGAGGAGGAGCAGCAGTGGCGCTCTCCCAAACTTTGTCATCCTGTCTCCTCCCTGGCAGCCTGAAACCCAAACTGTTTGTTTGCACAGGACTCTGGAGTAGGTCAGTATTACTGCTGGAGCACACAGCCCGCCTGACGCAGCCAAGACGACACCGACAAACACTCCATATGGCTCCGCAAAAGGACCTACAGGATCCATCTGTTCAAAATTTGTTGTCTTTGCAGAAATTCGATGCTTGCAGTCCACTCCATTCCCCAGAGACATCAAGCTGCATTTCATACCAAACATGGTCAATGCAGCTTCCAGATGCTGTCTGCCCCAAAAGTTTGCCCTACTGGTTTGGGCCAGCTCTTGAAGGCACAATTCACGTGCTTAATAGCAGGGATAAAAGCATCAGATTAGAGCAAAGTGGATTGGAGTTGGTTGGCCCTAGCAGAGAGCAGCTGACAATCGCTGCTGATGTTCTGTGTGACGTTCCCAGTTCACAACCAGCAGCCCCCCAGCCTGCCCTTACTGGAAAGCAGTGCCAGTGCTTATCTGACACCCAGATCCACGCAGAACAGAGCAACAGGGATAATCAAACCTAGTTCTGAGATCCTTACATCTCCTGTAGTAATTGCATTAACATCAGCAACTCCTTCAAACGGACACAGAGATCCTGTGCTATTGGGAAGAAGGACACAAACACAGAAACAAACAGGGAAGGCAGACCCCCAAAACCTCTGCTTCACAGGGAAGACAACACATGTACCACTTTGAAGCACTAGAACTCCTTTATTTTACTTTCTTATGTTTAAAGGAGTCTTAAATTATTCATCCGTTCCCTTAGAAAAGTAAGGTTGGTCCGAGAGCCATGAGGACAGCAGGAACCAACGCAGGCACGTCCCGGTACGACAGGAGCACGCACCCAGATGCGGCAACGCACTGCACACCTAAGCCATCATAAACCGGCAATAAAAGAGGGATTAAAGGCCAATAAGTCCATAACCAGCAGTTGGAGATCAAAGCTGGAACGGAGAGCGGTTCGTTTCTACGACGCACCCGCACGCCCCGCGTTAATTCCGCCGGAGCCGATAGGAGAAGGCAAAAGGGGCAAGTTGGTAGGAGGAGGAGCGGCACACGGGGCTGCGGGGGGAAGCGGCACTCACCGACTCGGCGGCGACAGCGGCCAACAGGAGGCCGAGCAGGAAGGCGGCGCGGGGCAGCGGCATGGCGAGGCGGTGCGGGGCGCTGAATCCGAACGGAACCCGACGGCGAACGCGGACGGCAGCGGCTCTGCCCGCACTCCGCCGCAGCGCCGCTTATAGCCGCGGTGCGGCCCGCGGAGGCGGAGCGAACAACACCGCATCGCCCCGCCCCGCCCCGCCCCGCAGGGAATGCCCGCAGCTCCCGGAGGGAGAGGGGGGGGGGGAGCGAAGCGTCGTGCGCCGCGTGCCCCATCCCGGCTGGAACAGATAGCGGCTGATGGGGAGGGAAGGGGGGGCAGAAATGGAAAAGGGGGGAAAGCGAATGCGCCAGTTTGGTTTTCGCAGCATTCCAAAAGCGAGAGTGTTGTGCTCGCAGATAGCGGAGGGGTTTTCTGTCCGCCTCTCGCCGTGTCGTCGCCGCGGTTCTGAAGCGGTGCGTTGCGTCACGCGGTTCTGTTTGGAGGTGGAAAATGAAACCGCTCCGTTTCTTTTCTGTGTAAGTGGGAAGCGTCAAAAAAAAAAAAAAAAATACACCCTGCTAATAAAAAACAACACCCATCTTCAGCACAGTTTAACTATTTCAGATGGTTTGTGTGTGTGTGTTTTCTTTTTTCTTTTTTGCCATTTATTACTTTGCCCCACGCTGAGTGTTTGCTTGTGTCTGTTGGCAGCATCCATTTCTTTCTGCCCTTGCACAGCCCGGGGTTCACCTGAACAACCACACGGATGCCCCTTGTCCCCGTGCCTTGCTCACTGCAATCACACTGCCCTGCATTTGAGCTTTACCTTACTGAGAATAACATACATTCTGACTGGGGAATCAACACCCAGCTGACAGAGCAATGTGTGCCGTGATCCCATCAGCCTGCTGTAGATGCAAACTCTGCTAGATTTGGTTCTCAGCTCATTCCAACACTACTAAGCTAACCCATGAGACCATGTAGCCACCCCCTCTCCCACCTTTACATGCTAAAAAGCCCACAAACAAAGCAGTCTCACAGGTGAAGCAGCCTTTCTAACTGCCTTTGGGGAGAAATAGGTACGAAGGGTGCGAGTGGAGGCCAAGAGGTCTCATCAATTTGTGTTAGCACTGTGCCTGCAGCTGGGGCTTTGCTGGCAGGAGACTCTCCTCACAGCTTCATCACCAGTTGGCACTGTATGAACTGACAAGGAGTGCTGCTCTGAGCTTGATAAAATAAAATCCGAAGAGAGCACTCCTGTAGGTAAGGTTAGGAAGCAGGCCGGAGGTGATGGTGGAGTTTCCTTGAGTACCAGCCCCTCTGTGCCCAGCAATTTCTCACTAAACCTCTCATTCTCCTCAGCACCCACAGCCAAGGCTGTGAGGAAGGGCTGCTTGCCATGAGCTGGATTGCTGCCCTTCTTTGTCACCCCCACTTCATCACAAAGGAGCTCATGGAAGAGCAGGCAGGGAGCCTGGCTGCAGTCAGCCTCCAGTTCTGGGCGCCTGCACAGCCAGGTAGCAGAAGGTGGTGGAGAACAAGAGCGTGATGCATGGGTTGATATGCATGACAATATCTGCTAGACAGGAGACAGCCTCAGCAGCACAGTGCAGACAGAAGCAGTGCAATTCTCCCTAGCCCTCTGTGTGACTCCTACACTTGTGTGCATGTGCCCATGGCCCTTCTTACCCCTCTTTCCAGGTAAGGCAGTAACCACAAAGGTGCTTTCAAAACCAGTTTTCGGTGTTGTGGCTACAAACACTGCTGACTTTCCTGTTAATTTCCTCTAGATACAAGCATGACAGGCAGTTCTCTTCCTGGTTATTACATATCTCAACACTGCTACAACATCTCTCTGTGTGGCACAAAAAAAACATTTTCCCTCCAAAGGAAATTCTGATCACGTTGAGCTCTGCTTCAACAGAATGGGCAGGGCAGTGTCCATCGCAGCCACACCTGTGTGCATAATCCTGCAAACAAAGTGACTGAAATCTTGGGCTTCTGGAAACAGGAGGGAAAATTAAACTCAATTAGAATGTACTTTCCAGCCTTGGTATGAATTTACATAACTCTACCAATGACATTTTCACAGTGCATCTTATCTATCCACCCTTCTACCACACACAGACACAAAGTTTCTGCCACAGTATCTCAAAAGCAATCATCAGAGAGGAAATGCAGCCACTGAAATCGTAATGTGGTTCTTTAAAACCATGACATATCACAGTCGGCTTCATTTTGCCCTTCAAGTGTCTCCTCTGAAAACAATGACATTCTCCTCTCTGAACAACACAGAAAAATCGTGGGTACAAGACATTCATGGAGAGTGAAAGGACAAACGGACCCAGACAGAAAAACACACAGCTGAGATGCACTTTCTTGAAACCTCACTGAAGGTGAAGGAAGCAGAAGGAAAAGAAAGAACACAACTGAGCCTCACGTTTGTTCTGGTCAGAGAATGTTCGCATTCAAGGTGTATCAGTTCCCTTTTACAATCAAAATTACAGTTGGCAGAGAAATAACGTAGGCTGGCCACAATTGTTCCTAACCCAGTTTTCCATCCCCAGCTCTGCCCTGAAAATAACAACACCTGCTGAGTCCCAACACGTGATACAAACACACTGGATTTAGCATGCAGTCCAGCTGTATTTCATTTGGAGGGTGAGGGAAATCACAGTTTATACAAGAAAAGATATATCTAATCCTCAGAAGGCCAGATGCTGAGCCTTCTTCAATAATGCTGGATCACAAATTCTACTGCATTTCATAGGAAAGGAGATATTTTAGCCAAGCTCAGCACAGTTCTTACAGATGGATTTTAAAATGGGCTTAGCACAGGATTCTCTAGCACTGAGAAACGTTAGGGAGAGTTTTTAAACACTCCTACCTGCCTGGGAAAGGACAGATGAACATCAGTTCAGATGCCCTTTGTACTTCAGTTGGTAAAATATGTGTGGCCCAAACAAATAG